GTGGGCTCAGAAATGGCACTGATGGATAATCTCGTATCTCTCACCAGGGTTGGTAGAGGTCGGGCTATTTTTTCTCGAACCGTAAAGGTCGCTATGGAATTGGGCTTCTACTGGGCCCCTTTGGCCTTCAGTTGGTGGAGGGCTCCCTGACTCCCACGGCCTCAGCTGCCAAGGCCCCGCTGAGCCGGGGTCCCGCAGGCTGGGCCCCCAGCCCCCGCACCCCGGCCGGCTCCTTACCCTCAGGAGTGCTGGTCTCTTCTGCCATCTCCCAAACGCTGATATCATCATCGGCCTCCTCCGCCGGCCCCTCCTCGGGGGTCTCCCAGGAGGCGTCCTCGTCGGGGTCCTCAGGCTCCTCGGGCTCCTGGGCCTTCAGCGCGGGCCCCTCTCCCGGCCCCCCGGGCGCCGGGGGCACGGGGAGCATGGCTGAGCCCGTGGGCGAGGGGGCCCTGGGCCGCACCACCACGCGGCCGCTGCGGGGCCGCACCAGGACGTGGTCGTTGTGGTGGATGCGGCGCAGCATCGAATGCACCAGCTCCAGGAACACGAAGCGGAAGCCAACCATGGGGAACTGGTGAGCGTCCACCTCGACCTCCAGGACCTCCGGGGGCTCCTCCTCCCCGTCCTCGTCCTGGACCGGCCCGATGTCTGAGTCATCCTCGGAGCTCCCGCCCTCCAGGGCCGCTACCAGGCCCGCCGCCTCCCCCGGGCCTCCCGCGGCCCTCCTGGCCTCCAAGGCCGCGACGCCTGGGGGGGACCCGGAATCGTCGTGGTCCCCGTGGGGCCCGGAGCCGCGGTCTGCCCCGTCTCCGGCTCTGGTCGCTCCGGCCGGCGCTCCCTCCGCGCCCGTGGAGCCGTCCAGGCCGCCCGAGGCCGGATCTCCATCCCCCGAGGTTGACATGGCAGTTACCTCGGCCGCGGCGCGGCCGGCTGCGGCGGCGACGGTACTGTTGGTAGCCACCGAGGTGGCTGCCCTGACAGGAGGCCTGGGGGTGTGCGCTGAGCGGAGTGGCCGCTGAGGGGACAACAGAGGAGGTCCCCCGAGCGGGTGGGCAGGAGGCCGCTGCCAGTAGCGGCCCACCGCGGCTGGGCCTCAGGCAGCAGCCGCGCAGGCTGGGCGGGAAGATTGCGCCAGGTTGCGGACGGAGGGCGGGGCCAGACGAGTGGACAATGGGCCACGCCCCCTCATCA